CCAACCACCTAGGCTTCCCAAGTCCCCCCGGGGGGCGGGGAAACCCCTGCCCCAGAGGCCTGTTCCCTGGCACCGCCGCATCGGGCCCCGGGGGGAACTCCTCCCCGACGTGCACGTCACCTGGAAGTGACGCGACCACGCCGGGCACGCTTGTGGAGGGGCCAGGGCCCTCCGAGGGAAAACTCTATGGTTTTCCCTTGTATGGCCGTGGCCCCGCCCCCAGCGTGCCTGGTGTCATCACATCACTTCTGGGTGACGTGCATGCGGCACGCGCGCACCAGACGCCGGCCAGGAGCCCCCCCGCTCCCGAAGAAGATCGACTTGGCAACCCTACAACCACCAAAGAGGTGGAGCCAGACACACAGGGGAAATATCCAGGGGGAAAGGGGGTGAGAAATAATAAAACCAACACTGTTGGCAGTTGCCACTGAAACAATGTTATTTTAATCTGCCCAGCTAATTGCATCTCCAGTGGCCAATTGGATGCCCTCTTGGGCAAGTGCCTGACTTGCCCCACCCACTTTCTAACAATACATGGTTGGCACCAGGCCCATGGCACATTTATTATTAATAATTATTATTAATTATTATTATTATTATTGTTATTATTATACCACCCTATCCCAAAGGGCTCAGGGCGGTGTACATCACTAACATACAGCAAATTTTAAAATGCAATAAATAATTAGTTACAGCTAAAATCAGTAGACATTGGGGACCGCTGTCCTACAGTGTGTTGTGCTTACTGTCTGGGATGGAACAGCGAGATACTCCGTCTGCGATAAGTATAGCCTTCTTAATAGAAATACCTGGGTCACGAAATACAATACCTTTTGGGTCACCTTCTTCAGGATAATTGGTTTGAGACTCGATCTATATTTATTGCAACTGTCCCCTATAGAGGCTTTCCGGTCCACAAGTCTTTATGAAAATCGTGTAATATATGAGGTTCACTGTTTGTTTCAATTAATTAGGAATTTACCACTGGACAATTCTTTTTTCGCCCGCTCTGCATTCTTTTCACGGAGATGCTTTTCCAAAACAGGACAATACACCAGATGCCTGCCTTGTCTGTCCATTTGATGGACTTAAGGTGAATTTTCCGTGGAGACGCATTCGGAACGTGTTGATTAATCCCCACGTGTTCTTCTCGAGACAAAGGCTATGTATTTCAGACATGTGAGCTGAATTCTCTCCTAAGGATCGCCATGCTCACTTCACAACACTGTCCTGAGGATTTGCCTTTATTGGCTGAAAAGCTCCGCAAAACAGGAAGGAGTTTGCTCAGCATCTAAAAGGTAATCATGGCATGAGGGGAACATTCCTGAGTAGTACTGGTAGCAGGAGCTCCTTTGCATATTAGGCCACACACCCCTAGTGTAGCCAATCCTCCAAGAGCTTACAGAGCTCTTCTTACAGGGGCTACTGTATGCTCTTGGAGGATTGGCTACACTAGGGGTGTGTGGCCTAATATGCAAAGGAGCTCCTGCTACCAGTAGAGCCCTGATAATCCCCTAATGAGGATGGCAGCGAGAGAGAAGGCTCTCTCCCCCATAGGCGTTTCTGAAGACAGAGA